GACTACTGCAACAGCATCCTCTACAGTTCACCAAACAAAATCACCAATAAACTCCAATATGTCCAGAACTCCGCCTCCCGCCTGCTCACCTCCACCCGCCGCCGCCAAGACCACCTCACTCCGGTCCTCTAAAACCTCCACCAGTCAAATACAAAATAGACTTCAAACCAGTGTTTCCGCCAGGGGGGGCGTCTTGCCGTCATTTGACGCCCTTATTCAGCTCGGAACGCCCTGAACTCGAGCCGTGGGCGTCCAAAGAAAGTAATAATTCGAGAGAAGATCCAGAGTTTTTATCGCTTGAAATGACGAAAAGGAAAAAGGACCTCTGTTGGAGGGGCAAAGGAGTCTGGTGGGATTATTTTCGGAGTATTGAAGATCATTTCCCCGACATCGGCAGTGCCTGCCACAACACGGAACGTGCGCGATTTGGAGCACGCGCGTGAACTGCGAGCGCCGGAGCCTCGCAGCGGCGAAACTGAGGCTCCGTGTTAAACTGTGGTAACATGAAGAGCCGTTTGGGAGCCGAAACAGCCGGCGCTTTAAGAGAGCCGAGTCAAATGATCCGGCTCACTAACGTAAAGAGATAGTATCTATAAGGGACGGCTCAATTCAAAATCCCCCCCCCCCCCGCTCTCGGGGTGGACGCCCTCTCAGCCCTGGTCTGGCGGAAACACTGCTTCAAACTACTCATCACCACCTACAAAGCCCTCAACAACCTGGCCCCTCCCTATCTCTCTGACGTCCTCCACCCTCACATCCCCAACCGTTGCCTCAGGTCCGGAGATACAAACACCCTAAAGAACACCACTAAGCTCCGGACCTGGGGTGCTCCACCCTCCCTCTGGAACGCCCTCCCCAGCCACATCAGACAGTCAACCACCCAACCAACATTCAAACGAGCACTCAAAACCCACCTCTTTAGACTGGCCTTTCCCTGTTAAACCCATTCCCCCACACCATTACTTTGCCAGTTCACAATGCCTTCTGTCCTGTTTTTTCTTTGTAACGTTTCCAACTCACTACATCTCATCTTTGTTTGTTTGTTTTATTGTTTCACTTTGGGTATCTAGAAAAGCGCTACATAAATCGAATGTATTATAACCCACTACAGAAAAGGGAAAAGCACAACAAGCATTAAAGGGCCTCTTTAAAAAATCTATTTGACAAAGTATTCCAGATTACCTCACACCTGTTCTGACATTTTGATAACATATTGGTGGATATATTGGCAAAACATATCTCCAAGAAGTGTATATTGGCTATTATATTTATTATTTCTGATAAATAAAGGAACTGCAGCGTCATCCCCTGTTTGGCCGATATAAAAGATTCCACGAGACGTAACAATTTTATTATAATAACCAGGAGTTGACAAAAAGATATTAATGTTTTAGAGAGTAGGGTACAGGGAGGAGAATTACCATACATGGCCTAATCCACAGCATGAACACATATTTGCGCGGATTATTTTGCACATAATAAATAGATTTTCATGGTGTGTAATGAAGGCTTCTATACTGATCCAGAATGTCTGCAGGAGAGAATATAATTCAGATTTGTTCACATTTCCTTCCATGCAAAAATAAAAGGTCTACATGATATTTTTTAGATGCAAATCAGGTTTTTAGCTGAACACCAAAATAAGTGCTCTTCTTCTGTGTGTGGGAGTCACAGAGTTAAATCTGATCGAATGGGGATCCCTGGTTACCATGTTCGCCCCCAAAGCCAACATGGAAGGTGGGCTCGGTCCAACAGCAGCAAGTGTGTGTGCATGTGTGTATCGAGTTTCCCCACGAAGAGCTCCAGCAGAGAGGCGGACACTACAACACACACACACATTTTCTGGCCAGCCAATGCTTTCTGGTGACTCACCACACACACACACACAAAATTATCGCCACTCCACTCACTCACATACAACCTGGCGCGCTCGTACTCTCTTTCCTAAACACACACCCACACTGCCTCCCACTATTTAATAAAGCATTGAATATGTGTATTAGTGTGAGTTAGTGAAATAGAAGCAATAAAGAGGAAGAGGAAAAATAAATGTGTGTGAATGTGCAAGATGCAGCTGTCATGCATGCTTTCTGCATTTGTGTGTGTGCATGTGTGAAATAAATAAGCAGTTTGATAGAGCGGCAAAGACTGTGTGATGTTGCACGGTGTGTATGTGTGTGTGTTTGTTCCGGCTCCGTATAGCTGTCATGACTGAATGCCATTGAGGGCAACACAAATCCAGAATGGGGTCCATTACAATCGCCACAAATAATACTTTTTTTTTGTAAACATGCATTGAGCTGCAATCTCAAGCGATAAAAACCAATGATGTGAACAGTCTAAAGTGTGAAATAAAAGCTTGCTACTGCTGCAGAGTGTGTTTGTGTGTGTGTTTGTGTGTGTGGATTGGGGTGACAGGTCAGGTGGCAACGGCAAATCACAGCTACACTTCCTAGGAACCGGCAAAATGTGTCTGTCAAAGAAATAGCAGCGTGTCAGAGCAGGAAGAGGAAAAGCGAAAGTGTGTGTGTGATGTGAGAGTATGTGTAAAAGTCTCCATGCGAGGGAGGGAAGGCGTACGAGAGCTGTGTGTGTATTTTTCTGTGTGTGTGTGACAAATAAACAGCAGCCAGAGAGCTAGCGAGCGCGCTCTGATTCGGAGACTGGCAACATGACTGACTGATCCCTGCATCCATATCATAGGATTAAAAAGCCTGACACGGTGGCGATACAATAGCTGCAAAATTTGAGACAAAGAAAAAGTCGGTCAATGGGAAAGGAAATGTGATTATGAACCAGAACAAACAAGAGGGAGATAATATTTAAAACAAATCTGGCACACTTCTCCAAAAAAGAGCCATACAGTGCAGCATCTGGGAGGAGATGGTAACGCTGTCACCGGGCAGTATAGAGGAAGGAGAAAGAGGAGGAGCTGCTGCCAAATATGAGCCTCCAGTGTTTTCCAAGAGCCAAGACACACTCGTCAGGGTTAAACCTGCCCAAATTCAGTTTACACACCTGTTCCCTCAGAATCCTCCCTCTTTATGTCCAACTAGAATCAAAACTTCATATGAGGGCAGGAAGAAAAGTAGTAAGAAATTAACAAAAGTAGATGTTTGTGATAGTATGCTCCTGATTAGGGGGTCACACAGGTCACCAGTTTTTTTAAATGCCGCCACATCGCTGCATATGACTTTAACCGGCATGAGATGCACTCCTAATTATTCATGATTTTATGTAACAAGATTTGGGTACAAAATGAGGTCGGAGAAGGAACTCAATGAACTTGCATAAGAAAGAAGTATGAACATGAGGAAAATAACTTCTATACTACAATGATAGTCCATACACAGACAATACACCAGTGAAGAAACAGTCTTTATATAATATGTGTAACACACACCATGTAAAAATCCCTTTTTCCATATTACAGCAGCCTGATTCTGTAAAATAAGTAACCAGAAAAATGCATTTAATAAGGTATTGAAATCAGCCAACATGCAAACCAGTTTAAACCAGTCTGCCAATATGGCAAATGATAGCCAGTTTTCTAGGGACGATTATCCTAAACACAGGCTGTTCCGAAAAGCATATAAAACAGTTTACTGTACATACTGACAGTCCAAACAAGTTAAAACCAGTCTGACATTAGGGTGACCGATCGTCAGTTTCTGTATTAACCAGTATCATACACACAGACAGTCCGTGCCTTATTTAAAACTGTTTGGATTCAGAATACTGTACATGCAGTAGAAAACATTAACTGGGGTAAAGTCAACGTCTGTTCACCAGGCATACAGTGCTCCTTCGAAAATAAACGACAGTTCGCTCCTAAAACATTAAAAACGAGTTAAATAAGATGATTTCAGAAACTAAACATAATTATTTGTATACTTAGAAACCAGTTAAATTCGTTTACTTCGTAAACAAACGCTTAGTTTTGACGTAGAGCAGTTTAATATCAAACTACTCGGCAGCTCGTCTTAAGCAGCAGCGGAGTACAGTATGTACACCAACGCTCCGCTTCTATACACAGAGCCATTAAAGCGGCTCTAAAACGTCAAAGACTGTTTGTCAAAATACATAAACCAGTTAAAGAAACCTATCCACCATATCCTCTACAGGTCCTTTTATCTAAAAAACTGTTAAAAACCAGCCTGTCGTTAGCAGCGAGTGTGTTTCTATACAGCCCGCTGACGGCGGCTTCACCTCAGATGACCCAACCAGCCAGACTGGCTGTCTGCTAGCTAGCCCCGTTTGAACCTCCGTACAGCGGGCAACAACAACACTTGAACCGACGCTACAAACCAAACTGTCCCCGGTTCCACCGTCTTACGAAAGACATTATTGGGATAATATTCTTTACTTTGCTTAGCGGAGTAACGCTAACTAAGGACGGGAAGAAGGGAAGAGAAGAGAGCCAGCCAAAACAAATGCATTTCTCGACATGAGAGCATAACATCCAGGGACGGGCAGCCACGTTTTGTGCTGCTGTGTGCGGGGAAAGGCTAAAGCTAAAGCGCTTAGCTTCACCGGGGTGCCCGTCATTGACAGGGGCTAACTGGTTAAAGGCTAGCTCCGCTGGCTAATACATGTATTATATGCACTTTCACCGGGGTGGAGTGGGGACGGCAAAAGTTGGCTACCAAAAAAAACAACACGAACCGGATGACATTCACTTGTCTGACAACTATCTTTCAATATAACCCGAGAGCCTCCGCGCAACAACTAAAGTTACCTGACAGCAAGGTATAAGTGTTTTAATTCTTGTTTGGCTGCCGTGGATGTTTGCTGGCTGATAGCAAGGTGATTCCCACTCTGAGAGCCTGTGATGGAGGGGACGGTCGCTAGCAGCAGCAGCCTGGGCAGAGGCAGACAGCCCAGCCAGGCGGCTAGTCTGGCTGCAACCAAGCCGCTTTAATAACTTCACTTTTGCGGTCACTTTGGTCAACATTTCTCTCCAGGAGTTAAATAAATAAGAAGTTTCCCTTGTGTCCTACCTGTGTGTAGTCTCTGGGTGCAGGGTGCGACAGCCTGGAAGTTGATTATTCCCAGATATCCAGAGTGGTGCGGTGCGGGGCGCATATAGCTAGCACTGGATACTGTAAAGATTGTAGCATAGCTAACCTAAAGACAACAGTAGAGAGGAGAAAAAAAAACCTCCTCGTTGCTCATAGGGGGGATCGACGACAAAAACCACATGATCTTTTACGTCAGCATATATTTGCATAGGATGCCAAATTTATGTTTCGCGTCCAGGTGACGTGAAAATGTATAGAAAAGTTTGATTATGGCGCACCCGACGCTGGCACGGCTGCTCGGGCTACGGTGGAGAGGCGCAGGCATGTCGCAGCCCTGTCCCCCCTGCAGCCTCATCTGCACCGGTCTGCCGTTTCATCACTTACAGCATGGGCGGCTGGGACTACACGTTACTGTAACTTACATATATTCATGCAGGGACTTATAACACACCTGTAGTGCTCTATATTTAGTTTATTTTGACTTTTATGGCATGCAAAGTCACTTTTATCTGCAGGTATCACCATTCTTCCAATGCAGCATTCCTCATGGTACTTCAAGTTTCCTCTGATGTATAGTAGGCTATCCTCTCAATTGTTTTGTTTTTTTCATATCTAGAATATTTTTCCTTTTATAGCTAAAATCAAATGTTCACACAAACCCATCTCCCTGAAAATATAAATACAATCCAATAAAGTGATGATGATACATAGATGTATGTAAAAAAAAAATAGAAACATCTTTTTAATTTCTTTATAACACCTGTTTGATTCTGGAGCTGACCTCTCAAACAGCAGCCCGTTCTCAGCAGGCAGCAGTATCACATCCTGTGAACAGCTCCCCCTGATCAGCCATCTAAAGAAATATAAATTGACTGTAAAGAGGAGTGGAAGTTGGAAGTTTCCCCGCTCGCCAGATTGCTATCTGCATTTCATCAGGCTCATGTATTTTTTATAAATGTGCTTGTTGTAGCTGATCAGATGCAATACATGTAGGAAGATCTCCACACTGTAGTGAAAAGATGACTGAGAGCGACACCTACAGGAGCATCGCAGAGCTACACCCTGCCTCATGGTGATCGAGTGATTCTCGACTTTAAGCTCCTAATCATCTTGATTGCAAATGTGTGATTGATTACCCATTTAGCCTACCTTCACCAATTCACTTAAACACATTTTGTAAGTTGTATACTTGTACATTTTGTGCAAAATAGATATGACAATGTATATTTTAGTGTAAAAGTGTACTTTTATTATAATTGCATTACAAATTATATATAAGTGCACTTTTTAAAAGCATACTAGATTGCACATTTAAGGTGGCAAACTAAATGTGGTCAAAATATGAACCAGTTTCATTTATTATATTAATTTTAAATTAAATAAACTCATGTGTGTATTTATGGATGAATAATTCAAACCTAGGATTGGGCAGCTTCTTATGTTTGTTTGTTTTTTACAGTACATTCTGTTAAAGAATCACATCTTTACATGGTCTAGGTGAGCATTTACTCTCTAAAACTTGTTAAAATATCAGCCAGCTTCCTAATTGTCCCTCCTTATATAGTAGGTGTCCACCTATTCCAACCAGAGGCCTGTGTTAGTGTCAGCCAGTCTGGAGTTTATTCACTCTGGAAACAGCTTATTTCATAACAGCACAAAACAAGCTTTATGCTGGGATTTGGTGCATTTAAAGAAAAGCTTATGAGAAAAATACAGGGCCTTCGAAACAGAACCGACGCCACAGCCAGAGCCAGCTTTGCAGAAGAGTTGTCTGCAACTGGAAGCTCTTGCCAGTGTCTCCAGAATACACAATCAGGTAATGTTGCCAGGCAAAAGCACCGGCTCTAGCCAATAAGCAGAGTTTTGGCCAACATTGCTTAGCAACAAAAGTTAAAAACTGAACCACTCAAGGCTTAAAATAGTCTTTAAAATAGTAATCAAGAGCTGCCTGTGTCACACATTTTTGCAGAAAAAAAGCATTTTGAGGCCCCTGAAAAACCAAGAATGAGAAAATAAAAGTGTGTCTCCTGTCCTGACGAAAAGTGAAATAAATATATTCATTAATAACAATTAAGTTGTTTACAACTAACACAATGACATTAGGAAAATAGGCCCCTTGATACAAACATGCAAAGCCCCCACCCACCCTCACACTCCACACTGAACAGCCTGACACCAGGGCACTTGTAGTGATGTGTGGTACTTTTGTGTCTCTCTGTTGTCTTTTTTGCCATTTTTTGTAGTCAGTTTAAGTTTCAGAGGGCATATTCACATCTCTTTATGCTCGGTTTCTATCTCTGTAGTAAATGTATATCTCTTTGAAGTTGGTGTGTATCTCTTTGTGGTCATTTTTGCATTAATTTGTATTCATTTTGTTTATATTATTGGTCATTTTGTACCATTTTGAAAGCCTTTAAGTAGTTTGTATATCTGCTACATCCTTGCATTCATATTGTATCTCTCTGTAGTAGTTTGTATTTATTTGTAGTTGCTTGTATCCCTTTAGTATTTTGTATCTTTTGTAGTAGTTTGTATCTCTTTGTAGTTGTTTATGGTGGTTTTGCATATCTTTGTAGTGGTTTTGTTTATTTTCTGTCGTTGGGTGTTTTGTATCTCTTTGTAGGTGTTTTATTTTTGTCTTGATTGACTTTCCAAAAGGACATATTAACCATCCTTCCAAGCAGAGGCCCCCTGACCCCCTGAGCCTCTGGGTCCATTCAGCACTATGTCTGTGTCTAAAACATGAATCAAATGATGACCTCTCACACAATAGGAATAGCAGAATCAAACCACAGAAAAAGGCTTCATTTTTTTCTTTTTCTGATTCACTCATTAATGAGCTGACTGTTTGAATGTTGCAATTCAAAAACAGGAATGCTTTTGAATTTGCATGTAATTGTGGTTTAATAAAAAAACACATTTTGTATCTGTGAAAAGGGACAAAATAAAAAGGCAATTAGGAAATACTGTTACGACTGATTAAACGGGTATGAACTCAAATGCACAACTCACACAGGATTTAACAATAAAAGGTTTTATTCAAACAAAGCTCAACTATAGTGGTACAAAAAACAAAATCACTCTTAAAGAGGAAAAACACAAGGAGCATGAACAACAAAAATACTTAAATAAGACGTGGCTCGAAGCTCTGCTTGGGGGTAATCCTGGATTGATAATGCTGGTTGTTTGTCACAAGGAACGAAACAAACTGGCACAGGACAAAGGGAGACGAGGACAATAAATACACCAGGTAATGGGGAACAGGTGGAAACAATCAGGGGCGGGGTCGACAATCACAGGAGTGGGAGACACACAAGGAAGGGAGGTCAGAGTATCTGAAACGAGAGGAAAGGTTACTATTCAAAAATAAAGGGGAAAATCACTTGACAAAGACAAAAACACTTAGGCCTAACTAAACTAACATCATTTGCGAGAGATGACAAATACTGAGGAGGTTTTTATCAGGTTTTCATTCCGACAACGTTCGAAAAGTCCAAAGTAACTGATGTAAACTTTCCAATTGCAAATGGAAAAGTGAAAACAGCACAACACACTGTGGTTTGTCTATTTTGTCTCGTGACGGGAGCGCTTACAGCCGCTGGCCTCCTTCCCGCAATTGATCAAATGAAACGGCCTGAAAAGGAAGAAACAAAAGTCATTATTTACTGTCACAGTTCAGCACACTGTGCCGGGGTGTCAGTGCCGAGAGCCTGGGGCTTTCTGACGGTTTCTGGGTCTGAGAAGCTGCATCTGTTACAGTACAACAGGGAGGTTTGACTAACATGTATCTAGTTATTATTACGTTTATTGTACCATAAAAACAATATGGTTAAAACAGAGGATTTGTAACAAAGATACACACTCAAACAGGGCAGATTACTACAAATTAAAACATAGGAAGAAAAATCTTCTGGCATGACCAAACAGGGAGTTGTACATCAATAAAGAAGACAGCCCTAAACAATACATATTGACTTGTGAAACTACAAGATTAGGGGATGAGATGTTCTAAGATATGGATGCATAGTAAAGCAGGATTGATCATTTAATTAAAAGACAGACAAGAACTGACAAGGTCCGACAAGCTAGAGCAATTAAACAGATCAAGAGAAATTAAACTGCCTATAGTGAATACTATTACTTTTGGGACTTTAAATTCATTGTAATGCTAATACTCAATTGTTTGTATTGGTTAGCTGGCTGGCTCTGTTGTGATTGGTCAACCGCTTAGATGTGCCGTCCCTTAGCCTATCACAGTCAATGTGTTGACCGTGCGCTAGCCTATAGAAGCAAAGTGTTACAGAGTGATGTAAGAGAGAAACTCTCTGGAGGGAATGTTGGGATTTTAGCCTTTGCAGACCATTTACACAAACAACTATGTAATACACTACAGGAAAGAGAAACCACCAAAAAGCATAACTTACTAACTTTTAAGTTAGTACTTACCCTGCTAAAATTGCACAAATTACATGCAGCATGTTTCGAGTGAGAAACAAATAAATAATTCAATCGTATATGGGAAAAAGAGCATTGTTTTTCCAAATAAGTCACGGAATCTCCAACAATAGAGTAAAAATGTACTGATAAAAAGGCTGAGATATGAAAGAATGGATGAGATAAACAGATATAATGGCAGCAGTAAGATGAACTTGGCAGTGATAAGTGCAGACAGCAGATATGTGCTGTGGGTCTATGAGTTGAGATGCCTGATGGCCTGTCGTTAAGACCTGTTCTTACCTGTGGTGGTGTATACAACCATGCTCCTCTATCAGATGACAGACGGTAACAAGAACAACAGACTGCATGCTGGGAGGCTGTGTTCCTTTATGATGCTGTGTTCCGCCTCTATAAGCCTGTAGTGATTGTTCAGAACAGTTGCCGTACCAGACTGTAATACAGCCCGTCAGCAAGCTCTCGATAGGGCACCCAGAAGTTTATGAAAAAGCTGGCATTCATCCCACATTTCCCATCTCCTTAGGAAATAGCATTCATGGTGAGTTTTTCTGGTCAGTGTATCCCAGTGAAGTGTCCATGACAGATCATCTGATGTGCACGCTGAGGAGTGTGCTGACCCTTTCAACCTCAGCATCAACAATGTGGATGGGGAGGTCACCGCCCCCTCCTAACTGTTGGTGTTCACGATCTTTAGTTTTGCTGACGTTATTTTCCTGGCACCAGCTGTGTGATGTCTTCATCTCCTCTCAGTTCAACTTATGCTTCGCTAAAATTCACTTGCTAAATAGCTAAGCCAAAGAGCACACTCACAGGTTGATTGAGTTGGGTCTCTATGTTATCTTGTTGTTATAAATGTAACACTGTGGTCTACCCTTCTGGCAGTGAAAGTGATT